ACAGCCAAGAAATTCAAAATTATGTTTCCTGCAGCAACCGTAATTTGTCTACGCTGGTCATAAATACAAAAGTGTAAATCTAGGAGCATACACACTAATACAGGAAACTTCATTATGTGCAAGGGGGCTAAGTTACAGTTGTAAATTTGCAAATTTGAATTTCATGCCTGTTATGTGTTTAAATTTCCTATGATAACACTGAATTAATGTTGTTTCACCATGGAATATATTAAGAAAGGCTTAGCAATTACAGGACCGTAGCTTTCATTTAGATGAGAATATGACATTGCATTAAAACAGTATAGTTTATGTACATATTTCTCCAAAACATGGGCAATGCAGGACTGTTAAAGCTTGACAGCCGCGATGCTGCTAAGTCTCGTATTTTTCTGACTTAGACTGGTGATGGCAGTAAAGCATGGCTGGCTTTTTAATAGTTTGGCTGCTGTGAAGTTGCTAACCCAGTTTTTGGTACGTGTCATCGTTAACCTTGCGTTTGTGTTGCTGCTGTCAAAATACAGGTACAGCTTTTTCCTCCGCCGTGTTTGTCACTCGTTCATTTTGTCCCCCCGTCTGCAGCCGGCAGAAGGGAGGGAACCGAGTGAACAGCCACAGCACGTAACTTCTCCTGTCCCCTCGGCATGTTGCACTCACGGTTACTGCATCTGGGAAAACTTTTTTTTTCCCCTAATGCCAAATATTTGTGGAAAGTGCTGAGGTTCATCCTGTTTTTCAGGACTCTGGACTAAAGACACTCTGTGGCCTTGTGCTGGCTTATTCCCCAGCTGTTTTTCCTCCAGAGGTGGGGGCTTCTGCCATGTGTTGTATTTTCTCTCCTGTGCAGCTGTGAGGTAGCTGGATCCAGGCTAGCTGATGATCCTTTGCTGTGTATGGACTAACAGAGACTACTCTTACGGTAACCACTTGATTCCTACTGCCAAGGTGTCCAGAGTAGTGCCCTGGTGTGGCAACGTACACAGAGCTCAAGTATTTGCTATTTTATGCTGACAGATGAGTTCTGGTGAATCCTGTTGCTGCTTAAGACAACTGTCCCCCAATGCCTCAAGCTGCTGCAATACTTCGTCCAGCATATATTAGCATAAACCACTGAGAGAGGCAATTTGCAGCTGGCTACGGCGGGCTGTGAACTGCAGTGGTGGAGGAACAGGCATGTGTTTGTTTTATCAGCTGCTGCAGGGGCAGTAATCTCGGACAGAAAGGTAGAGCAGAGGGCTGGGGATGAAGAATGCTCTAAACTATCACAAACCCATGTAGAAGAGTCACAGCCCTGAGTTTTCAGTGATGCAGTCCTCAGGTACATCTAGGCACGGGCGAGGCAGGCTGGCAGAGCACTGGTGTCCAGCTACTCATTTCTATACTAAAATTAGCATCCTGAGAGGGAAAAGCTTGCAGTTTTAGTAAGTATTTGGCTTATTTATTAAGCAGAGAAGGAAGTGTGACTAATGACTATTAAACATGTATCACTGAGGGTGGATCATCATAAGCTTCCATTTTATTATTAAAAAAAAATTATAGTAATTCAGTACTCCTAAATGCTTTCATCTTGGGTGACTGAAAAATGCAATGTCATTATTTGCGATATTCCCTACAACATGGCCTCAGTGGAGTCCTATAGATAGTGTAATTACTGGGAAAGCACTCTTGTTTTCCAAGGCTGTTGAAAAATGTCAAAGATAGTGCACTGCAGTGTTTGAAATGGAAAGTAAATAGAACATTTAAAGTAGCGCTGTGGTGAAAAGCTCTGATGGGACCAAAGAAGTGGTGCAGTTGTCTGTGCATGGGCAGTGCTGTCCGCCAGGCCTGGCCAGCGCCTCACGGCAGCACTCTGCAAGGGGGATCAGTTCTACCTTTTCCCAAACCTCTTTTCAGCTCCCCAGAAACCTAAGGGCGGTGGTCAGGCAGTGGAAGGAGGGACAAGCAGGGCTTCCAGGCTTGGGCAGCATACTAGGAGTCGGCCAACACACAGGCAGCAGAGCCAGCCAGTGTCCTGTTAGCTTCTCCAAGCTTTGTGCTGGAGCACACCTAAGTAGTGAAGAGGACGTAGCTAGAAGTGGTGGCTGGAGGTGAGAGCAGAGCAGAAAATGTAGTGGGAAGAACACATTGCTCTCAAGGGGAGCCTCTAAAATGTCTGTAAATTCATAAGGAAACAGTCTTTGGGGCTGCCGTTTGCCTTGAACCTGGAAAGGGATCAAAGTCAATGGGCTTTAGACTGCTCTGTTGTTAAAGGGCAGGAGAGTTTAGAAAGGAGGACAGTGATGACAATGGGATCTGTTGGACCACAGTATGTATTTGCTGGGGTGCCTGGATATAAACTTAGTAATTTCATTTTGATCTGCCAGTTGGAGACTCTTGTCCTATGCTCTTCACGTTTTAGGTGTAGCTAATAAACAATTATGTAGCTCTACAACAAACAGATCAATATGTTTGAGAACTAGGAATTTTATCCTTATACTAACTTTAGTGTTGATATAATACTTACTGCAGTGATATTGACTGCAGCCAGGTGGTGAAGGGACAGTATAATACGGGATTATTGCCTTGCCTTTTACCATAAAAGATTTTTCTGCATTATAAGGCTCTGAGAAAAGGTTAGTACCTAATAATAATAATAAAGTTACACTTACTGTTTTAAGCATTTGTCCTTCCAATCTTTTTAATACACACATGCGTGCACACACCAAATTGCAACAATTCTGTATCTAGGCTAGTAACACCATGGATTGAGTCAAAGAAGCAGTTTTCTTATAGACTTGATAATCCAGGAGAGCCAGACCGTACAGTTTATTACATCTTTGAGTAACTTTGCTCACGTGGAATTTGATGGCACTGATAATGTAAGTCAGACTGTTCCAGGTACGTTTGCAAGATCTGACCACATTGGGTCCTTTCCCTTGTAAGTGGGAAAGAGAGTGCTGTTTTCATGTGCCTGACGTAATCCTGCTTCTTTTGAAATTGATAGCAAATACTCACTCACTATGAATTGTGGGTACTCTGCTCCTTTCGGGGTTTAGGCTATTACTGAGTAACTCGAACATGTAATTATTTTTCTTTAGTGTCCTTGTACCTGTGGGAGTGAAAGTAGGTACCTGCCCAGATGGAGTGGTCATGCTTAGGTTCACGAGCCACATCTTCTGGTTGAATAACTAAATGTCCTGAAGCTGGGAGTTCAGGATTAGTTTTGGATTAGTCCCCGCAAGCTTTGAAGTGTGTTCAGTAGGTTGCTGAAATATAGTAGCGGTAAATATAGTGGTAGATAGGGGTGAGGTGAGAATATAGAGGTCTGCTGCAGGATTGTATCTTTATTTACACTAGCAAATGTATTGGGTTGTTGACTGAGGAGTATCTCCGGCATTTGCAGCTGTGACTTTTGTATAGCAGAGGACATGTTTACATTTCATTCATTAGTGTTTTTTCAAAAGCTCTTGTGTGATGTATTTATTGTGCAAGTTTTTTTTAATTTGGGGTACAGGATATGAATTCATTTGACAAGTTTATTCCTTTAGCAAGTTGGATAATCATTTGTGATTCACAGTTTTATTCACTGGGGGGGTGGGTTATTAATTTAACTTGCACTGTATTCCTTATCAGATATTTATTGACTGGTTTACACTGTACAGAACAGGATTTGAGTAAATCAGCATGCTGTAAATTTGCCTTTTTTAACAGGTTTATTGCTTTAGCAGGTATTCACTTAGGATTTTGCTGCTCCATCATAAAACATTCCCGGGCATGGAATACATTTTTGAGTGAGATAATATACTGTATAGACCAAGGTGTACATATCAGCTGTCATATACATATAAGCAAAATAAGAAAAGATGTTTTCTTCTGCAGACCCCAGCAATCTTGTGCAAAAGTACTTATTTCAACTGCAGTGCATTAATGGAAGGCAGAAGTAAGATATTGCATGACCTAGAGGGCATGAAAGAAGAGCATTACCATTTTCTTTTCTTCAAAGGGGGAAACGTCTCAGCAAAGACGAGATCTGAAACCCATTGACTCCAGGGAAGTTTCATCAAGACTGAAAAATTAATAATTGTCTTGTTTTGTTTCTCTTTCTCTTCCTGTTTTTGCAAATAACAAGTTACTCTGTTCTGACCACAAGATGACGTCTTTCTGTCTGCAGCAAAGATGCCCCTTTATGTTTAAAGGTCTGTTGTGGTACTTGTGGAATTAATAATTATGCTAATAGCAATACTTTTTTTGTTGTTGTAGATGTTTGGATGTCTGTAAAAACCACTGGGAAGTGAACTGATCCCTCTTTTTAAGCCAAAGTGTGTTTCTTATTGTAACCTTTTAATAAGAAGGCGCCTACTGATAAGACTTTCTTAGAAATTGGACAGTACAAATAATAAACATGTATTATGTAAGAATGATATAAAATACATATAAATTTTATACATGGACGTGATAAGAATTTTTGAATCTGTGAAAAATCTGAAAAATGCTTTTAAAAAGTGCAATTCTACTCAGTGAATAATCATGTTAAAATGATCTCTTCCTTTTAAATCTCTGATCCAGTACAAATAATAAACATGTATTATGTAAGAATGATATAAAATACATATAAATTTTATACATGGACGTGATAAGAATTTTTGACTCTGTAAAATATCTGAAAAATGCTTTTAAAAAGTGCAATTCTACTCAGTGAATAATCATGTTAAAATGATCTCTTCCTTTTAAATGGCTCTGATCCAAAAGTGCAGGCAGGCTCATAAATACTGATTTTTAGCAAACAAAACAAGGTTTTTTTCTTCTGAATGAATGAATCAAAGTGGTTATGAGGGGATCTTTAAAATACATTTCCTAGTATAAAATCTTGCATCTCAGTTGTTTACGAGGTCAGTTTGCACTTCAAAAAGCATTTCAGAAAGCTTTTAAAATGTGCGCCGTGTGTGTTATACAAGTTCAAAACAGTCATAGGTATACCTACCAAGTCCAGCCACTTATAAAGGTATGTTTTTTAATTTTTCTAGCCACTCAGCAGATACCCACCTTTGATCAATGACATCTCCTTTTGGCTGCCTTCTGAGACATACTCTAAGAATGATTTCTATGATTTGGCTCGAACCGTTGGTGGAGACCTGATAGAAAAGGTTGTCCTAGTGGATGAATTTACCCATCCAGAGTAAGTAAAACTATTAACACATTTTTTGTGTGGTCAGAATATAAATATTTTATGAATATTTTCATTCTGTACACCAAGAAATTATTGATTCTTACAGCATTTGCACATTTCATTTTTTAGCTCCAAAGCATTTTTACAACGCTTTCAAGAATAAATATTTTTGCTTAAAAACATTATCTTATATTTCAGTTTTGTACTAGTACTGAGCTTCTGGTATTCAGACCGCAACCCGAATGTGTTGTGCTCAGTTAATCACAGCAGCAGTGAACTACCTTCCTCAATACATCTGCCAGTGTGTGACACTCTTATCCATAACTTGTCTGATACTCTAGTCCTGCTTTTCACTGGGTGACTGGTGTTTGTCTCCCTGTTCTCTTCCTTTCTTTTTCTAGTCCTGATTCACTAGTAGACCTTTACTATAAATGTCAGGGCTCATAATGATTTGTTGCAGAATACTATTGTTGGTGTTCAACAGGGAGAAAAAAACATACTTTGTTCCTTTCTTTCTGACACTTATTTACGCTGTTGATCAGTCTCTCAGGCTTCAGAATACCTTCTTATGGATATAGCAGCACTGACAACCATTGGGTGCACAGGTTACTTGTCCAACTGATACTATCAGTTGTCTCAAAAACTGACAAGTATCAGCTATTACATATGCACTGTTTATCAATTTGCTGTTTCCAAATCAAGAAGTAAATATGCTGCTGGCTACCCAACTTTCGAAAATTGGGGTTTAAAATAATTTCTTTTCTTGAAGACTTTTTTGGTGCTGTAGAAAGGCAGGTAGTAAACCTAACTGCAGTGTTTTTTGAAGATGATAGGAAAATACTTCGTGTTGTGCCCCAACACCTATAGTGTGGGTTTTTTTTTTTTCTTTCTACCTCCAGGTATTTGACCCTATTGTTCTTTTGAATTTGATGTGTGTTGCAGACCGGATGGATAGATTATTCTATAGCCTAGTTTTCATGGTGTTCAGTGGATTAATATTTATTTGTTGGGGTTTTTTTTTCCTTCTTACCCTTTTTGTGTGGTGTTATATGAGACTGTTTCTGCTGTGTGAAGAAACAGAAATGCCAATGGAATTTGTTTGGGCATCTGAAAGCTTTGAGTCATTAATTCTTGAGTGGTCCTCACATGGAAATCTTGCGAAAGGATCTTAACCCTATACTCAAAACAGTGTGTCGAGCAGACAAATATAGGCTAGGATAAGATAATGAGTACTATTCATTGTAAAGAACAATAAGACTGTATCTTACAGAGAAATTCAAAAGCAAGTTTGTTGCGGGTATGCATAACTTGTTGTCACTTGGACTGCACCATAGTATCATTTAGCACTGCTAAAAATATATTTAATTGTCTTCTATCATGATGGTTCCGATACAGTACAATCAACATTTGTAAAAATTGGGATGTTAGACCCATTTTTGCAACTGGTCATTTCCATTCATTCATGCTGAATGTTTATTGTCTGTATAGCACTTCTGTGTTCATTGCCACTTTTTGTCTACAGTCTTCCTGGTGATACCAAACATGCGATCATCTTTGTTGTTACATCATCTCTTGGGGGAAAATCCTTTGTGTAGTGTAAGCAGCTCTTCCAAGGCTGAAGGTTTGGAGAAATCTTGTTCCCTGCTCCCTCAAACAGAGGCAGTATTACTCTGTGATTACTCTTGCAGCTCACTGGAGGAATCCACGTACACTGGGAGGGCCTCGCCAGCAGCTCTGCATCAGTCACAGCTCAGCTCATGGGCCATGCTTCTCTTCTTTACTGAGAATATTATCTTCCATACTAGTAGCGTGGTGAGGTAGGGACAGGACTCACTACTCTGGATTTCTACTACATGTGTTTTCTCCTTTGATATGCTTTGACACATCCTGAACATATAGCAGGGGTGACAGTTGTTCAGTACAAGATCATTTCTTCCTCTGCAAGGAATACACCTCTGGTTCCCTCTGTGACTTCTGCAAATAGATGGGAAGGATGACTGCTCGCTGAGAATTGTCACACAGATTTAGGACTTTCCTAGTATTGTCCTTTAAAGCCATTAAACCCTCACTCAGCAGACATCCATAGTGTTTTGACACTACAAGGAGGAAACATTTCCCACCTTCATGTTTGAAGAATTTGGGTGGTGACACTAATGGATTGTTGGTAGTGATGTTGTAGTCCTCTTAGTTTGTTCAACTGCAACAACAATAAAAGAAACCTTTTAAAATGCCCCATTAAAAAACAGTAATTCCAAGGACATTTTCTACCTCATTAAAAAAAGAATTATAGATAAGGACCATAACATAATGGTTACTTTGCTCTTTCTTCTTAGAACAGGGTGTGTGCAGATATGTAACTTTTGCGGACCGATGACATAAGCCATGTAAGTCATTTTGTCTGTCTCTAAAGCCTTTGGAAGACTGACTCTTTGAAAAGAGTGTTCTGCTTAGTCTTAATTCCAAGATAATTGCCTTGTTACAGGGACGATATAGTGGCTTCTTTAATTCAGTGTTGCAGAAAAGCCTCTGGGCACAGAAATTAACGTAAGAGATCCTCAGTGTTGCTATGGATCTGTATGTTACAGATCTAGATGCTTGTAATCATTAAAGCCTTTGGAAGACTGACTCTTTGAAAAGAGTGTTCTGCTTAGTCTTAATTCCAAGATAATTGCCTTGTTACAGGGACGATATAGTGGCTTCTTTAATTCAGTGTTGCAGAAAAGCCTCTGGGCACAGAAATTAACGTAAGAGATCCTCAGTGTTGCTATGGATCTGTATGTTACAGATCTAGATGCTTGTAATCATTATCTTGAATTTGTAGGGATTCTGGTGTGGAGGATGGGAGAAAAGTGTATAGGATAGGGAAGCCTGCAGTGCTGCTGTCTTGAAAGTTAGTTACTTACAAGCAGCTTAATAAGTTCATGCTTGGAGTTAATCACTTCTGGAATTTAAAATTCAGACTTTTTTCATCCTTTATAAATACCAGTTTCATGAGGAATTAGGACATTTGGCAGTCTTATTTTCCTTCTTAAACTACCTTTCTTAGTTATAGGACTATAAAGATTGGAAAACAGAAAATGCTATACAAATAAAACTAATTTAGAACACAGAAAGAGGTCTTTTAATTAAGATCCTTTATAGAGGCTGTCTGTGTGACACTGTGTAGTTACCTTACAGACTTTTTTTTGGTTCAGAAACCTTTCAAGGTTCCACTGGGCTTTGGACTGATAAGCACGCTCCAGTACATTGTAATTATGGTGTGTATTAGCAGTGAAAATGTATTCCTCTACAGGGAAAAGGAAAGGGGGGGGGGGGAAGCATGGAGGAAAGGGGAGGGGGGGGGGGGGGGAAGCATGAGACAAGTAATTGTTTAAACAAGTAAGAGATGTCTGGGAAAAAAGTAAATCTTGATTATCCACTTCATAAGGTGATAATGTTGAGACATCTTCCAGGAAAGCATAGGCAATTAAAAGATCAGCAGGAAGGAATCTCATTGCTGAAAAGCACAAATTTAGGAGAATGCCAAGTTACTGTGCTAGGGTAACTAAGAACCATTCCAGACTAAATGCATCTAAGTAAACTTAACTGAACAAGACACAGCATTGAGGTAAACTGAGTAATGTGCAATGTGTGAAGAAGGCTTTCCAGAAAATGAAACTTTTTAGTTCAGTTTACTCTGCAAAAATTTGATTATCTTTTCCTTACAGCTGAAACTAATTGTAATGGATGCCAGCCTAGTGGGGCTAGATAAATTGTAAAATGTTTCAAGCAGAAAGTTATTTCATACTGCAGTCACGTGTTACTTTGAGGTGGAGAAATAAGCATTCCCTATTAGAAAATAATGTACGAGCAGTAGTTAGGACATGTAGACATTTCTGTATTTACCTCTCTTGAATTTTGTCATTCTTCTAAATTCCTGTTCACCAGTGCAACAGGTAGACCTCACAGAGCAAAGAAATCCATGTGCTCTGTTCCAAGGAGAGAATTGAGTTTTAGTAACTAAGTCCAGGTAGGTAGCTTTTGCAAAAAGTGATTCTGGAAACCAGGATAACTGGTTTCAGAGTCCTGTGATCCACAAGAACTTCCTCCCTTTGCTTTCATCCCAGCAATTCCAAACAGGTCCACCTGCCCCAAATGCTCCTTTTGAGTCAAAAGTGTCAAATTAAAAGGAGCACATGGACTTTTCAGGTGTCTGCAATCCCCACACACCTCTCCACGTTACGGATGTGTGTCTGCACAAGGTATCACGTGAGAGGAGACGGCCTGTGGATCTCAGCTGCCAAACAGCACTTGGGACCCTAGGCAGCTGCTCAGGGGGTTTAGATTCACAGTCAGACTGGGAAATCTCGGAACAGGGGATCCTTGAACGAGAGAGGAGCATCACCTGTGTGAGATATGGCTCGAGTTCAGAACATGCATCTGGGAGAGGGAGCGAGTAGTACATGAGACTGAACAGGTCAGTGGATAATCTTGTCAGCTGTTGATACCTTCCCATCGCCCATAGTGTAAAAGGCCATCACAGACCTGCACAACCGAATGTGGATGGGAAAATAAGGCCCACTGTCACCTTTTTAGGTGATTTTTAGGATATTTTTGGAATCTAAATGTTGTATCAGGCTTGTCCTGATAACACAGTCAGGGTGTAACTTCATCCAAGATGAATAATGCAAAACATGGCTGTAACACACCTGTTATTCAGGCATATAAAGAATAAATCAGCAGATAGGAAGAAAAAGTTGTGGCTTTGCTGAAATGCCAAGGAAACTGAGTGAAACTGTGGCAGTTATGGCAAGGACAGGAGCAGGGTATCTGTAAGGCAAGCAGAATAGAGAAGAAATGTCCCTTTGCAGCGAGCAAAATGTTTTCAACAGTCCATCGTGTGGCTTTAAGCTCTCCTTTGCTTGATGCATTAGCTGCAAACATTTAGATTTTCATACATTTGGTTTGTGGAACACACTTTCCTGTACATGGTCTGTAAAATCGGTTCACTGTGCCTTGCCTTGAGTTGT